ATTCGGTTTTCGCTTTCTAGATTGTCTCTAAAGCTGTAAAGCTGATTTCATTCATAACATTCCTTTTTAGACAATGATTTATCTGTGGAAATTTTTGAAAGGCCGGCCTTGAGGTCTATTACAGTCGTGTGCGTGAATAATTATTTGAACTAAGTGACTGGACATTACTTATCACAGGGGAGGGGAGGGTGGGAGGATTTTGGTTGTTACGATAAAATTGAACTGATCCCCTCCATAAGGCTCTGTAGGCCTCGCAGTGTGCAAAGGTACGTGGAGATATACGCGAACGAAACAGTTTACCATGTGGTTGTTTTGTATCTACTATTTTTGTAGCTGAATAGTGCAAAGGATAGTTAAAGTAAATTTGCTGAAAAGTCATTTCAAAACAGTGACGTAATAAGTCAAGAGGAACTTCAGTTTTTTTATGACTGATCCTTTCCGACATCAATCGTAGTTTTATTTCAATTACCGCTGGAAATTAACCATCCGTTCAGCTGAAGTTTTGGTAGCTTTGGGGAAAAAAGTACCATCAGGTACAAGCTTATTGGATTCTGATTGCTAATTCGGGTTGAGGCTTTTACGTAAAATTTATTCTGTGTGAATGCCGTGTTTTGGTTATATTTTATCGGGTGGTCTTTGAAGCGAGACAATATCATTAGTCAGCACTTTCAATGCAAACATCCACAGGGGGCCTGTATGATGAGCGTGTCTTGAATGAGTTGCTGTTGACGTGCCGAGTTCACGAAACACTTACTATTAAATGACCACCAAAAGAAATTAAAGTGACTGAAACCATTAATTCGTACTACTAACGATCTTAATAAATGTACTGGAATCAGAAAACTATAATTACCTGCTATATTTCAGAACGTATTACGTTCCAGCCAGGTTAGCGATCAGGGCAGCGAGTCGAGGAAAATTTTGATTAAAAATTAATTTATAATTCTGAAGAGGTTAGAATTTTGCGAACGATTTGATGTTTTACGGTCTCTTACCGTGCTACACCTCAAATTCCAAATTGAAACTTGATTTGCCGTTGGGATTCCGCTCTAAGTCGACGCAAATTTTGGCGAATTCGCGTAATTTTTTAAGGAGGACGTCTATGCAATGTATGAAGTTTTAAAACGCACGTGCTGAGCCATGGCTTTTCCCTTTGGATCTTTTGTTTTCCCACGTCCTGACGTCTCCAATTGAGTTTGAGCATATTTCTTATTTCGTAAAAACAAATTAAAGCCTCACCAGTTGGAAAATACAAAGAAGTAGTCCAGTCACATTATTCACATCTATGACCATCTAGGGCTTAAAAATTGATTTTTAGTGTACACTCCAAAGCATCATGCTGTTTTGACAAGCTCTAGTTTATCAAACTCTACCATAATTTTCCTATTCATTTCCTGCTACTTTTCTTTTCCATTTCTAAATTCTTAGCTTTTGCTTCTCACAAGTTAGTGTAGGCTGTAGTGCCTCAGTTCAACTTTGGGAGCGGTTCAAGTCGATTACTCCTGTACAAACAGCTGAGAAGACTCTTAAGACCTTCACGATAATTTCCACTGAAAATGAAAGAGATGTAAGGGTTTATGGCACAGTTTGATTGAGCTAAAAAATACGCGATCTGTTCGAAGTATTGGAAACTACAAAATGATATCATAATGTTGTCTGATGAATAGAGGCTTAATAACATCCGGATGGTGGCAGGCAGCCAGCACACCGTGAACACCAACACGACGGCGACAGACATCTTCGAAACATTTCTCTCTCTCTTCAAACGTTGTATTCCTACGTTCAATGTTTGCTCGCCTGGAGTCTCGTGGGAGTTAAATTTGTTCTCAATGGTGATGAAGAGTATGGCTATCAAAACCAAAGGAATATACCAAAATATAACAATCAAAGCCAACATGTAGCTTTTAAAGGGCAATGACTCTCCAAACGCTTCCTTCCATCGCAACCTACACGCCAGCCCATTTCGATTCTCAACAAGTTTCCAGGCAAACAAATCTGGGGACTTGATGGCAAGGGAGATGATCCAAGTGGCGAGGATAAAAAAACAACACAACTTAGAGCTGATGAGGGGAGAACGGAGAGGATATACCACAGCTACAAAACGATCAACAGCCACCAGAACCAGGCTTTGTATACTCACAAGAGCGGACATCTCGATCGAGTAAGAAACAATCTTGCACATAGCTTCGCCGAGAGGCCCTTTGATCAACCAGGTATCGACATACAACCTCGTCAGAATACGTGGTAACAGGAAAACCGGAAAGAGAAGATCGGACATGGCCATGTTTACAATAAAAAAAATAATAGGTTTTCTTAAGGTTTTCGTCTTGCATACAACCAGCCCGATACAGATGTTTCCAACCAGTGAGGCTACGAAAAGCGCACACAGAACTGTGGTTTCCCTGGTTCTTGTTGCTGTTGAATCAAAGCAGCTCGAATCTTGTGTTGCATTTGTGGTTGCGTTTACGTTTGTTGACATTTTTGCTGTTCAGAGATCAGTTTATTCCTCAGCCAGCACTTCTCTAAAGGGGTCTGAAAAATATGTTTGGTTTACTCTATAAAAGGAAGACCATCTGTTTGTTAACATATATATTAAAATTTTAAGCAAATCGAGAATATTGAGATGATTTTCCGTTTTACTGAAAACGTCCTAGCTGAGAAAATTACGCTTGAAAGTAAGACAGAAATTATCAGAAGCTGTCTGGCAGGTATAATGATTGAAATAAGTACACAATTACAAACAAGAATAAAACATTTCGGCTTTCTTTGTCTTTCATTTGAAAATGATTAATTATTGTCCCTTGACACACGTTGAGTGTGTATAATATGCGAGCCAGCGAGTCATGCGAGTCAACATGCGCGTCATGCTAGTCAAGAAGCGAGCCATGTGAGTTAGCATAAAATAACTTTGTTTATAACGTAAACTACCAAAAAACTAGCCTCTGTAACTAAGTAAAAATATACAAATTGAATGAGGTGAAACAATAACAATAACAAAAGTTCTAACAAAGGTTTTAAAAGTTCTTCCTCTGTCACGTTTAATGAGTCACACCATATTTGGTAAGTAACGTGACCAGAACACACAAAAAACACTCTTTAAAACCCAAACGTCTTGCATCTTTCACAATAAGGCCAATGGCAATGGCTTAAGAATATCGCAGTAACAAGTTTACTAACAAGTTTAACGTTCCTTCTCAAAATTCACATTTATCGAAAAAGCTATGACATCATTGCGGGGTATTTTCATACATTTTATTTAACATACTTTCTTGCTTTAGTCTGAACGCTAATTTCATGCTACAGATGTTAAAAGTTAAATTGCTTATGATTCCCCAAAGAAATGGATTCTCTTTTCTTTGAACTTGAGCGCTTTTTCATTTCTAAAGCGGGATTCGGGACTGGCACTAGTTGCGCATGTTTAATGTCCATTTAGTGTTGTCTTATGTTCAGTTTCACGGTTCTCACCATTTCAGCGGTTTAAGACACGTGCGAAATAATAAGCACGAAATAATGTCCCTAGCAACGACTCGTAAACTGTAGTTAAGTTTCACCCCTAGCTTTTATTTATTTATTTATTTATTTATTTATTATTTTTTTGGCGGGGAGGGGGGGGGGCGGCGCACGCAGACTGGGTTTATGCATGTTGACTTCGCTCTATCCAAAGTGTGTTTTACCGAATATATGCATTTGGACACTGAATTAGACTATGAACTATAACAGACGATATCTCAAGAAGTACAAGTGGTATTAAATCAAAGTATTCCAACGCTAAGTCTCTGTTCTTGCGTTAAATCTGGATCCAAATGCAATGTCATTTGAGATGGAGAAAAAGGGATAATACATAGTCCTCGGCGCCAATCATGGCGCCACGTTTAGAGTAGCTCTAGTTTCTATCACTATTTTATCCTGTTTAAGCGCTGTATTTCTAAACCATTTATTATCCTTTGAGGCTACTTTTAAATTAAGGTGGGAACCCCTGCACACTGGTGTTCAACTCAAGAAGAAATGCACTTGTATCGTCAAACATGGTTTTCATCGATGAAGAGTTCCAATGCAGAAGCACACTAAACACGGGTTTGTCTTCTTAGTCATCCCTGGCCACGGCCCTCCATTGGACATCACTCTATACGTTGATATTTTGACCAACCCCGGTCCTGCTCAATCTATTATCGCCACTAGTAGCCGGCAGAGAGCCACTCGAGATTTAATTCGGCAACTTGGTTCTCCAATTCGCCAAACAACGACCCTACAGTATTCTCGGCGTGAACTGGTGTCGCTCCGGAAAAATTACAGCCTTCAGGAGAGACGGTCAGTTTTATTTAAGAACATTCGAGCGGATGGAATTTTTAAGTACCGAGTGAAACTGTCTAGAAGACTTACTAAAACACAATTAAATACAGGCCGAAGCAAATATTCTTCAGAAACGAATGATTTTTCCACCTGGAATAATTATTCACAGTCGAACAGTCACACGTTACCGGAGCTTTCAGTAATTCCCGTGAGATCAACTTCGCGCGTCATCTCCAGTAGTTACACAAGACAAAGAACTGTTACTCGCTATAACTCTTCCACCTTGATTGAATTTTTACGGTTCAATAATTACACTTTACCGAGACCTTCAACTATTCCCGTGAGAGTAACTACGCGTGTCTCCTCCAGGGGTTACACAGAACAAAGAGCCGTCAACTTCAATAATCTGGCTATTATTAAGCCTAAGAGAAACATCGACGCCAGCAAAAACACCTTGCAGTTCGTACCGTCAATAGCTGTATCCAATGTAATGAGTTTGGCGCCAAAAATAGACGAACTTCGTATTTTTTTGAACACCCACAAGTTTGATCTTTGTTGTATAACGGAGACATAGCTGTAAGATTCTATTGATGACAGCTTAGTTGACATTAGTGGCTACAACATCATGCGCAAAGATAGGACCCACAGGCTACATGGGAGTGTGACTCTATATGTAAAAGATTCCATCAAATTCTCAATTCTACGGGACTATGAGTTCCCTGACCCCAAGGGCCCTGAGGTTTTGTGGGCCAAGATCCCGCCCAACCGATTTCCCCGGGGTTATAGCTGCCTTATTATTGGTACAGTATACCATCTTCCACCACCTGCCAAAGATGAGCCCCTCCTTGATCGTGATTACATGATGGATTGTCTCTCTAGGATAGAGAGTGATATCCCTGGCGCAGGTATAATTCTCGCTGGCGACTGGAACAGGGCAAATGTTTCACCAGTTATTAAGCAGTTCCGCCTCACGCAAGTCGTCCATTTTCCAACAAGAGGGGATCGTACAC